GTGAAAGGGTTAAAAGGGAAAATTGGGGGAAATTTCCCATCTAGGTAGTCCCGCATGGGCATTGGTAAGTGGATTTTACTGGCGAGATTAGATCCTATGGTTGAGAAGAAGTCATTTATCTTGTTAGCTGTGTCAGTGGGATGTAGTGGTGTTTCATTAGGTTTAGTTAGGACAATATTCTTGGTTTTTCTCAGTTTGTGGGTCCCTAGAATCTGAGAGAGTGTTTTCCAGGTCTTTTTTATATCTCCTCTAGTGTCTGTGAATCTGCTGGAGTAGTATAGTTGTTTGGCTTTCTTTATTACTTTGGTGAGAGCTGATGAATAGTGTTTAAGAATATCTTTGTGTATTAAGCCCTGTCTATATTGCTTTTCATATTGGAGTTTCTTGTCAAAGCCCAGTTTATCAAAGCATTTGAGTACATAATAATAAGGTGTAATAAACAGATTATTTTTCCAGCAAAAATCACTGTAGGCTTTAAGAAAAACTGTTTGTGAAACAGTATCACTTTCCTCATCAGTTATCTTAATCTTCAAGAGTAAAAAGCTGAATATTGAAGATCTTTGACAAGTTAAGTTGTCAGTGTTATACTGTATCTTATCATCATGGCCATCATCATCTAAATTATTATTATAATCAAAAAAGAAGCGCTAAGCCACAAGGGCTATACAGCGCTGCAGGGTAGGGAAGGAAGAAAGGGAATTGGATGGCAGAAGGGAGGGGGGATGATCAGCAGGTTACAGAAAACAGCGGGGCAGGGGATAGTACGGGGGTAGAGGGTAGCAAGAGATTGAAGTAGAAAGGGCTGAAAGTATCAGAATTTGTGAAGTAAGTCAGTCGTTGTCAAAAAGTCAATGAGAGAGTCCGGATGAAAGGTGGGTCCATCAGCGAGAAGGGGAAAGGGTTTAAAGAGAGAGCAGCGGGGCGAAAGACGACGACAGAGGTAAATTCTGCGTGCTCGTTGATAAAATGGGCAGTCCAACAGAATGTGGCTGACTGATAATGGAGCTTGGGCAATTCTCACAGAGAGGAGCAGACGCCTCTCCATGAGATATCCATGAGTAAGACGAGTATGGCCAATGCGAAGATGGGAGAGAGTAATCTCCCAACCTGGGACAACTGGTGAAAAGGGAAAACGGCCATAACCTATACTCGGTTTTTAATAGACTGAAGTTTGTTCCGAGCATAGTAGACCAACGTTGTTGCCAACGGGTGTGAAGGTGGGAAGATATTACAGCAAAATAAGTCCGTACAGGGAATACCCTCATAAGAAACTGGAGGTCATTTTACTGCTGCCCCGCGCAGCAGTGTCTGCCTGTTCATTGCCCTGACGCCCAACATGACCAGGGACCCAACAAAAAACAATATCTTTATGCTTGGTAAAAGATGCGGCGTAGCCAAAGTTGGATACGGAGGACAAAGGGGGTGAGGTGTATCAAATTTTTGTATAGCCTGTAAAGCACTAAGGGAGTCTGGGGACACCACAAATGATGACACAGGCAAAGATGCAATACGGATAAGTGCTGTAAGGATGGCATATAATTCAGCAGTAAAAATACTAGCTGAAGATAGTAAATGCCCTTGTACACGCTGTCCGGAAACACTGCTGCGAATCCTACGCCGTCAGAAGACTAGAGCATCTGTGTACACAGAAATTGGCATGAGAATGAGAGGAAAGGGGGTCAAGAAAAAGAGAGGGGGAAAAGCGACCGAAGACAGTTGGGCTTTCGAGCAAGGGAGGGAGAAAAACAGACTCGAACAGCGGGAAACTTCCCAGGGGGGAGGGAAAAAAGTGAGATGTACATGTACATAGAAAGGTGGTAGTTGAAGAGAAGACAAGAGCGAATGAAGGCGAAGAGAGAAGGGACGGAGTAACAGGGGCGGCGAACAAAAAAAGAATGTCTACTAATATCAGTGCCATTTCTATAAATGGAAGGATTGCGGAGATCAGGGAGAGCGTACATAGTAGCGCAGGCAATGGGCATCACGGCAAACAGATAAGGATGGAACGTTCGCTTCTGCATAGGGCTTTCGACAGGGGAAAGAGCGAAAAAAAAAGCCCCAAAGGGCTAAACGTAAGCCTTGGTGATGAATGGGGTTAAGGCTAGGGGAGAGTAGCAGGAGATGCTGCTGAATAGATCGGTCACCATAACAAGTTTCGATAAAATAAGGGTGGAATGTAGGTGAAGGAGGGTTCGACGATCAGCTCCCACGAAAGATGAGCAAGGGTTTTAAGAAGGTTCAGCCGGCTTTTGACAAGTTGCCTTCAGAGGGGTTAATGTGAGGTTTCCAGGATAACCTACGATCAAAGAGGAGGCCCAGAAACTTGACTGTATCACTTTTCAGGGAATACGGGAGCCATAGAGGTACAAAGGATGATCGGAGATGACGAGCGTCTAGTGAAAGGGGAATTTGGTGGGTTTTAGTGCTGGAAAATTTAAAACCCATGTGTGGTGGCCCAATGGAAACACGGTCCGACTGCATGTTGGGGGAAGGAAACGTAAGGAGGTGACAGTCAGCGCCTGCACAGGCAATAGCGAAGTCATTCAACATAGAGTGTGACCAAATTTTTGATGGAAGACTAGAGGCCAAATCATTAATAGCAAGGAGAAAAAGTGTTGTGCTCAGAAACATCCCTGGGGACACCTTCAGCTTGGATAAAGTCCGGGAAGGCACATTATTAACCCGAACACGGAAATGCCTGTCAGTTAAAAAGTTCTTAAGGAAGGATGGTAGATTGCCTCGAAGGCCTAAGGAGTGGGCTTGGGCTAAAATATTATACTTCCAAGTTGGTCATATGCCTTCGCAAGGTCAAAAAATGGCAATAACTGAGGGGTTATTCGCAAAGGCATTACGAACATACGTATCCAAGCGCAGTAAGGGGTCTATGGTAGAACGCCCTTACGAAACCCATATTGACGAGTGGAGAGACTGTTGTGTGTCTCTAAATACCACACTAAACGTCATTTACTAGAGTTCCATTACTTTGCAAACTGCACTGGTAAGGCAATGGGACGATAGTGGGAGGTTTCATGTCCCGTAGTGCCTGGTTTGCGGAAAGGGAGAACAATGGCGGATTTCCATAGCTGTGGAAGAACCCCTTTGGGTGACCAAATAAGATTGTAAAGGCTAAAGGACTGCAAGGGTTTGACTGATGTAAAGTTGTAGCATAACGAAATGAATGTCGCGGGCCCAGCTGCCGATGATCGACAAGCTGAGAGGTGTTGCCTCCAGTTCTTGAAGTGTAAAAGGCACATTAAAACTGTTCTTCCTGAGAGAAGAAAAGTCCAAGGGTCTAACTCTCTGGCAGCTTTGAGGAAAGAAATGAGGGGCATAGATGGAGTCCCTGAGAAATACGGACCAGATGATTGCCAATTTCATTGGCAACATCTAGGGGGTTTTGCTATATCAACACCGGCAACCCGCAGAACGGGAAGCCGGTCAGGAGAATATTTACCACTCAGTTTTCGTACTTTTTTCCAGAACTGCACTCATAGAGGAAGCAGAGGTGATGGTGGAGACTTAATCTCGCCAGCAAGTGGTTTAGCGTCACGGATGACACGGCGAGCGTCGCACGCTTCTGTTAAAAATCAAGGAGCCCGCTCTGGGGTTCTATTGTACCGGTACCTGCCCCATGCAGCGCGTTTCAAACGTACTGCACGAGCACAAGCAGGAGACCACCAAGGCAGCATTTCTGAGAATGCCTGCCCGAAGTTTGGGGTATAGAATGAGAAGCTGCGGGGGAAAAGGAGGATGAGAAGAGGTGAAAAAGCTCATCGATGGAGGACGAAAAGGGGGAACCTCTTTAAAAAAACAGTTAGGTGTGAGTAAAGGTTCCAATTTGCCCGATTAAATGCCACGTGGGGTGCGAAGAGGTGGCGAATATAAAGGGGGAAGTAAGAATGTTTGGGGAATGATCACTGTCATGTAAGTCCGGGGAGAACAGACCAAGTGAATCTAATGCGGCGGAGGAAGAGCAGATTGAGAGATCGATGCAAGAGAGAGTATGAGTCCGAGGATCAAAATGGGTGTGAGTTTCCTGTATTTAAAACAGGAGGGGGTGGGGGGCAAGAAAAGTCTCTAACTGAATTCCACGGGAACACAGGAACCCCCCCCCAGAGAAATGGTGGCATTAAAATCACCAAGTAACAGAAAACGGTGGCGGTAATGACGAAAACAAGAAGGGGCAAAATCCGGAAAGATAATGCCCGGGGGAAGGAGAGAGATAATAAAGACAGAGTGTATTACACCAAAGTAAGTGGATACGGGCTTGCTGTGTAATGCAGCGAAGGTATAACAAATAGCTGATGGTACGGAATATCAGTGCGGAGAAGAAGGGCACTTTCATTAAAGGTCCCATCAGGAAAAGGATCTGAAGAATACAATAAATTATAGCCTGAGATGTGAAAAAATAACAGCAGAGTGTAATTTTGGTTCCCTGTAAGCAAACACCAACAGGGGCAAACTGGGAGAGTAACATCTGAAGCTCACCCCGATTACCCCTGAGGCCGCGTATATTCCACTGTAAATAGGCCATGATTGGCAAAGATAAAGATACTTTGAAATCCGCAGGTAAGGGTTCCTACGGACTAGAAGGTTAGAAAAGTCCACATGCGGAGCAGGGAAAATGTTCAAGCAGCGAAGGAACGGGCGCTGGAAGAAAGGTTGCGCAGATGGAGCAGAGGAGAGAGAAAGAGCGGAAGGTGGATCAGTGTCCATTGAGGTTTGGTCTCTGCAATATATTCAGAGATTGCTTCAAGTGTTTCGGAATTCAGAGATGTCATATGGGAGACAATATTTGGGGAAAGGTAGGGGGGAGGATGAGTAAAGATTGGAACTGTATTGGACTGTACCAAGGTAGGGGGGGGGGCGAAAAAAGGGGGAGGGAACTGGAGAAGCGTGGCAGGGGGCAGAGGAGGCAGGAACCTGGAGGTGGCAGAAGAGGAAGAAAACTTGGGAGGGAACAGGGGGAGGAAGGTACATTACGAGGAGGAGGGTGAACCCCCTGCACTTGTAACTGAGCCAGTGAGAGGGGAGAACTAGGGACAGAGACAGGGAGGGTAAAATGGAGGTGGAAGATGGGTAGGAGGTGTTTACCGGACCTTTTTTGACTTTTGAGAAGTAGAGGGACATTGGGAGGGGGTGTCCGTACGAGGTCTCGTCGATACTGAGGCTTGTGAGAGAGAATCGAAGAAGCGAGATTAGGAAATGAGACGTTGAAGATAGGGACGTCTGAGCCGAGGGCAGCAAAAGGATTAGATACAGGAGTGATTATGGGAGAGGTTAACCACAGAGGTGGGTGGTAGAAAATGGGATACCAGAAGTGGGGGGACGTTTTGAAACTCGGGAAAAGAAACACGTGGGAGTCTCCCTTGGAGGCGGAGGGTGAGAAACTGCCATGGCATAAGGGGGAAACCTTCTGTCTCTTTGAGGTAACGGGTTTCCCGCTCGTTTAAAAAGACCTGACAACGGCGAAGTACGAAGGGTGAGCCCCATGACGTTAAGGCAAGAGGGAGATCGATTGCAAGGGCGTATTAGAAAGGTCACGGCACCACAGACTGGGCATTCGGCGATAGATCTGCAATATTTCGCTGGATGCCAAATCCCAGCAATTTCATACTGTTGTGGTGTAGGGATCACCTTTTCGAACTTGTAAACCCGGGGTCCTGCTATATAAACTGAGGATGGGAGTTCTCGGCTGTCAAAAGTTAAACGAGCCACATTGCTAGGGGATTTGTCTCCGCCCACGGGCAGGGAAAAACGTAAGTGTCTACCTTGGGATTGGGAATCTTGGAGTTCCAGCTGTTCTAGAATGTCAGTGCCACATGTCTGGAAATTTCGTTGAACTATGGATGGGGCAGAATGACGGTACCACTACAAGAATTGAGGGAATGATGTTTTCAAGAGTGGGCAGGAACAGTATCGATATGGGAAAACGAGAGAGCTCATGGCCTGGGTAGCATTCTGTACGGTAATGATGCGCATACGCTCTTAAGAGCATGAAAAGAAATATCTTTTCCAACATGGCGTAGGAGTGCCTTGCCAATACTATGGTCAGAAAGATAGGCAGTAAAAGGAATTGGTGTAAAGTGAAAAATTTAGTCCACTGTTCGTCTGAAACTGAGCGTGGGAAAGGTAGTGAAGGACGTGTCGATCGTTTCTGAGAAAAAACGAGAAGGTGGAGAAGTATCATCGCAGGTAATTGTCGTTGGCGTTTAGGCGTGGACCAGAGTTGGTCCGACGTGGAAGGGTCGGCGATTTGAAAATTGCCGCACCGGGAGAGGAGAGGCCGAAGCATAGTCAGAGGAGAGCGAAGGTCCGATAAATCGAAGGAGTCAGTCAGGCCCCAATACCTGAAGCGGTGAGGAAACAGCACCGGCAATAGGTACAGAGGCATGAGGAATGTCTGAAGAGTGGTCCAAAGACGACGGGGTCAGAACGGGGTGCGGTAAACAAGAAGGGGCCCGGGGGACCCGGGTTTATGGACTAGGGCTGCCATGGTTAGGTTACTTCTTTCTTTTTGTTTTTAAGAAAAAAAAAAAAAAGAAGAAAAGAAAATAAAAATAAAAAAAAGAAAAAAAAAAGGGGGACCGGGGAGGAATAGTTTCCCAGGAGGAATGAAAGGGCCAGAAATCTCCCTCCGGGGCCCAAGAGGACCTCAGCACCGCAAGTAGCGCAGATGCAGCATGGAACCCGTGCCATACCCTACACCATCATGCTAGTAAACTAACAATCCGGGATAGCAACCTCACAAACTGCCGAGTACCTCGGTGGACAAAAGAGAGGGCGGCCGGGTTATCCGCCACAAAGCCCTACCTCCTTCGGCCACCACCCCCGGAATCCCAAAGGTGGCTTCCAGAGGGTACACTCGTCGCCCGAAAGACACCCAAAGCTACTCCGGGATACCGGAGAGGGATTGGGACATCCCCAGGCGATCCAGATTCCACGGCAAACTACGCCACCGCTAAGAACCTTTAACGGAATGGGATGGACCCCGGTTATCCTTTCCCCCACCTAGGAACTAGCGCGCCTGTGGGAGAAATCCCAAAGGACAAAAAGAGGAAGGGCAAAAGGGAGGGGTGGGGAGGGGGAGGAGGAAAGGAAAAAGGGAGGATGGGATTAGGGAGGGGAGATTGGGGGTAATTAGGTTCGGTCTGAGGAAGAAGAACCGATAGGTCTAATTCCTCAGACCAAGAGCCTCTTCACCACGCCAAGGAGCCCCCCTTGAAGAGGATCATCATCTAAAGAACTTCCAGGAACAGAAACACTAAATGAAGAATTTGTTTGAAGATGCTGAACATCTGGCATATTATTATTTCTCGGTTTCTTTTTTTTGTTGAAAGTTTTTTTGCAATTGTGGCATGCAAAGAGTACGTAACCTTTATTCGGCGCATGTACACACCCTCATTTACAGGCTATCTCCCCCAACCAGCGAACCAGGTTGCTAAGAGTTGATGATGGGGCCCCGTCGTTCAACTAGTGACCAGGTTCTAGCCAATAAGAAGATGGTTTTGGCAATCGCAGAGGTTATGTGGGTACCGCTCTCCTGTCTGCCCTTGTCATTCCCATTCTAGAGCTGGTTGAAGCACGGTCTGCTATCTTGTGGCTTCTATTTCTGCTTTGCTTACCGTGGAGTGCACTATACTTATCACTGTACATAGTGTACATATTGCTGTTCTAAATTGGTGAAGGATAATATAAATCTAAACTTTTTCTACTGTGTTTATTTGCTCCCATTACACCTGGGGTAACAGGCCATTTGGAATCCTGGGTTGTAATAGCAATGAACTCTGATAGTTGTCATGATGAACTCTTAGGTTCAACAGCTGTAGCCCAGCAAAAGAATAATGAAGAGTTTTATACCCACTCATCTCTTGAACAACAACCCCCAATTCCTTCAGATATGATTTAACACATAATAAACCTGCAACTGGAAAATTATGCTGAATGCAAAATTCAATGTAAGCTAACAGCAAATCTTTATACAAAACATCATCACTTTCATGTCCAGTTACATGCAGTTGGGCTTTAAAAAATGCTTCAAATGATTGTTTATCACCACCCTCCTGCCACAGTTGGGTCATTTGTTTTATGTTTAGATGTCTAGCTAATTGATTAAATGAATGCAACTTTAAATGACGAACTCAAACAATTTTTTCTCAGTCTTTGTCTCTTGTGATCCTTTAATTTTCATTTGAGAAGATAGCTGGGATTGGGCTTGAGTCTTCATGTTGGGGGATCTGTTTTTATCCATGTAAGAAAATGTCTGGGACTGGTGTTCAGCAGCTGTTGAGAGACTATCAGTAATTATTACATTTGATTCTGATTCCTGGGGTTCATCAGATTGTATGACTAAACCATAAAATTTATAAATATTTTTATAATCTTCCTTTATGACAACTCCCAAAAACCAGAGGTGAAACACTATGGACACCATCATGGCAGCAGGAAATTTTTTAATGTGCAATTTTGAATAAGCTGAGAGAAAAAGATCCTTCCGGGGCACTTGATCGCATAAAAATTTGGGAGTGATAATCAAATGCTTCAAGCAAAAGGTCTCGAAAGACTCTCGCCCAAACTACTTCCATGAAAAAGTTGGTAAAACTGATCTCAAAGAATTATCTTTGTGTGAATTAACAATCTGATTACTCCCCCTTTCAGCTGGCTTTAAACCCTTTGACAACTGCACAAGCTGATGTACACTGCATGAATTTAGAGCATCTTTCTTTTAAAATAAACAAGAATATCTGGACTATAGTTTCGCTGTGATGTCTGAAATGATACTATGTAAAAGCCTTTCAGTTAAATCGAAACCCAGATATGCAAGGTGACAAATGATGTTCTTGTACTCTGAGGCATATAATTTTTCCCTCTTACAAAATATTAAATATTCTTTGTAAAAATCCATAAAATTAATTTGGTCCATCTTGTTTCCAGTGACTATCAGATGTTTAGAAAAGAAGCTCTCAAATGACTTTCATCCATCATAGGTTGAAGGAAAGGCTTTCACACAGCTGTGGTACAGGCTGGAAAAATTATACAATTATTTTTTTAATGTACAATATTGTAAGTAAATCTGCAGTACGTACTTAAAAAAAAATTAAACATCACTAAAAATGACCCACATTGAAAAATTACTGAATTTCAATTTTCCTAGGACTAAGATAAATGATGCCTTTATATTGGTATCTGAATTATGCTGAATTTTTCCATAACATGCATTAAACTTATGTTGAAAATAATAAATATCATTTGAAAATATAAGTAACTGATTTGCTAAACAGACATTATAAAATATGCAGCATCTCCAAACACACTTACGTTGACAACCTTCATTATTGTAGGTAAATGGTTCAGATTATTATTATAATCATGGGGAAGTACTAAACCCATAGGATTATACAGCACCTGTGAGGGGAAGGGGATGGAAAGTATTCAGGCTTAATTCAGGGAACTGGAGCACAGATCCAACTGCCAAGATCAAGAACCCCTCACCAGCATCAAAGAACCTCCCTTGAAAGGCTAAATGGTTCAGAGAACCAACAAGTTGATAATTTAGACACATGTGCAACATTGGGTATCCTCGTTGAGGAAACATTTTGCCACAGTGGCTTCGTCAGTCCATACAAAGAAGAATGGTGAAGAACAGGAGTTTGAGGTAATCAGTCCCTCAGCCTTGAGTCGATGTAATCAGTCATCAATCTTGAAAAGAACACAACATATGTGTGAAGAAGTGGCTTATATACTAGAGACAGGCGAGGTGAAGCAGTCGTAGGTGGTATCACATTTGACAAATCCAAATGTGAAAGTAGGTCATGCCTAAAGGTTAGGCAAGTGAAGAAGTCCCTATATTAAGAGCCCAAGATGTTGCCGTGTCTGAGAGGAATGTGGATAAATGGTTCAGAGAACTGACAAGTTGATAAATTAGACACTTTTTCATGCAAATGCTGTGTTCTTTTCAAGATTGATGGAGCGATTACATTGACTCAAGGCTGAGTGATTGATTACCTAAAATTCCTCCTGTTCTTCACCATTCTCCTTTGTATGGACTGATGAAGCCTCTGTGTGGCGAAATGTTTCCTCAATAAAGATACCCAAGTGTTGCACATGTGTCTTAATTTATCAACCTTCATTATTATCCTGTTTTGGATAACTGAAATTGATCTCTCCTCCCCACCACACGCATGCAAGCACTCAGTCAGACAGTTCACAACAGACATATTGCTCTATGCTGCCTATAAATTCATAAGAAGGAACAGAAAGAAAGATCTGTGTGCAGAAACATTAACGGTAAGGTTAGTAATCAGTTTCAGTTTAGAAGTTGTGTGCCAAGCAAACAAGAAAATGGGCAGCTCTTAAATGGCTTGTGAATAATCAAAGCTATCCATGAAATATCTTTCAGTACACCTGTTGTAAAATCAAATCACCATATTCAGCAGCATGCAAATTCCAGCATTCAATTATGCATGTACTACACTGTACTGTACCTACAATTCAATATATCAGATAATCCAAAAAAAATCTTACCTTCTTGTTAGCATATCCTGAGGTTGAATTTTAGTCTTCAAATTTGAATAAGTTGGATAACTGTCTGACAGTGATAAGGATAAAATACCCATCCAAGAATACTCTTTTAATTCTTGCAAGGTTGGGAATGTCAGCTGCAATGGATCCTTCTCTGGAACTGGAGAAGACACATGCACTATCCTTGTTGTGACTGTTAAATCTTCCTCGAACATCCTTTTTGACCCACATGTTACAGTCTCCAGTGAATCATCCACCTCAGACTTTGGCTGGGTAGGTAGTACTTCCATCTCTAATGGATCTCCTGACATCAGTGGCGGCACAATTATCATATTCTCTGGTGTATCATCCTCCGACATCAGATTGAGTGAAGATGGTACCATTCCTAATGGATCACTGTGACACTAGCTTGGGCAAAGATGAGTCTGTCTCTATTTGCTCATTTTGTTTAATAAGCTGGGGCAGAGATTTATCTGTCTCTAAAGGATCATCCTGAGATACCAGTTGGGACACAGATGTTTCCAGCTGTAATGGAAAATCTTGTTTCATAAACTAGTACAGAGATTTTGCTGTCTCTAAAGGATCATCATAATATACCAGCTGGTACACAGATTTTTCCAGCTCTAATGGATTATCTTGTTTAATAAACTCTGGCAGAGATTTCTCTGTCTCTAAAGGATCATCATCCTGAGATACCAGCTGAGACACAGATGTTTTCAGCTCTAATTTATTGTCCTCAGACTCCAGAATAGGCACAGCATCATTTATCACATGTAAATGCTTGTTTACCACCATCTGAGTCCCAGTTATTTTTAAACTCAAAGGATCTTTCTCAAACACCAACAAGGAATCAACTACTTTCAAGTCCAGTGGATCTTCACTGTCTGACTCGAGCAGTGTTGACGAGGTCTCCGACACTCGTGAGTTCTTTTTTGATATCAAAATAGGATCCTCCTCTGGAAATGAAATAAATGGAACAGGTCCCATCTCTGCTGAATCTTCCACCTTCCCATACCTCCCAAGGGAGGCAACGTCTGTGGGACTCTGCGGTACTCTTTCCATGAATGTCTTGACGTACTTTAATGGTCTAATTTGGTTCTCCTGTCTTGATGTTTTAGACCTTAAGGTTCTGATTTTGCCACAATCCATCTGGAAATAGTAAGACATATTTAATATTTGCTACAATTCATTTACTACATTAATTAAAAAGTTATACAGCATCTCCTAGTACTATGACTGAAGTTTAGCAAATATGAAATTGAAATAAAAATAAAATTTAAATTACAGTGGCACACATTATATAGAATGAGACTACTGTTTATACCTCATAAAATCATAACACTATTGCAAACAAACCACAGAACAGGTGGGGTTCAAACCCCACCCATTCCATGTTTTTTTTGTTTTTTTACTATTTATAACTTTTCTTTTTATATATATTTGATACATCTTTGAATTGGCCTGTTTCCTATATTGGTTCCTAGTCCTTTCTACATTTTTCATAGCTATCAACCACCTTCCATTAAACCTTTCATTAATATTTCTGCTTTCACCCATTTTCTAATACACTGTAATGGAAGTCTCATTAATATTACAGAATTCTTTATATAAACTCTCTGATAAAGCTCCTCTGTATACTACATTTTTTGTAAATTGAACAGTGTATGCACTGTTCAATTTTGGATGTACTTTTCAACTTTACAGTGGACCCCCAGTTTTCAGCCAGAGCAGAAATCATACAATTCGGATATCAAGCACTTTTTTCAGCGAAATTTCCCCCCGGATTTCGTACATCCCCTCGGAAATCATTGGTACCAGACACGTGCACCTGGGGCAGTTGTACATTCGTGACTCACTCTTGGGCATGTTAAATGTCTTATTTTAGGTTAATATAAACATTTTCATTAATCCATCTATGATATTTTCTTCAAAATTATGTAAGAAACATGTTACATAGCATATAAACATGCAATGTTCATATGCGGTGGAGGGTAAACATCGTTTTCTCTGGTCCAGCGTTAGAGAAAGCTGTACGAACCTGCTTTGGCCCAGTAACCACCCTTAATACATAAGCTTTTGTTTATAATTCTCAGCATGAATTATTCATTACTTCTCCCTTTGTTTATGGCATCTAAAGGTAGTTTTTAGAAATGATTAAACTTGGTGAACATGGTATGTTGATGGTAATAGTATGGCTGTAGGCTGCAGTGTATGTAGCCAGTAGGTATACACTGGGAAGTTGTCTGCCTGGGACTACAAATAAATACTACTCACCAACAAGAGTCTTCAATAAAGGTATGTAATGTTCATTTATCATTAAAATTAGTTATTTATATTTATTTCTCGTTGTTTTCTATATGTAAAACTAAAGTTATTCTCTATAAAATGCATTTTTTGTTAATGTTTTTTGGGTGTCTGAAACGGATTAATTGGATTTACATAATTTCTTATGGGAAGCATTACTTCAGTTTTCAGCCATTTCAGATTTCAACCAATCCTCTGGAATGGATTAATTATGAAAACCAGGGGTCTACTGCATTTACAGATGCAACAGAAAAAACAGGCAACAAAGGGGGTTGGCCTGTATGTCAGAGAGTCGCTCATTTGTTTGGAACACCAAAAATGATGTAATTGAAGTTTTGGCAGTAAAGATTGAAGACCAAAGCCTTGTAATTGTAGTTGTATACAAGCCTCCTGATGCAACTTCCCAACAATTCAAGGAACAGCTTTTGAAAACTGACAACTGTCTGCAAAATCTCCCAACTCTTGCTCCAAACATCTTGCTGCTGGGTGATTTCAACTTAAGACACTTAAAATGGAGAAGTGTAGCAAATAATTTTTAGCAGAGATAGCCCCAGGAGGCAGCTCAGATGAAAATTCACACACTCAAAACCATACTATGCAAGGTATTACGGTACAGCCTCTCCTCACTTAGTGACGTACTCGTTTACCGAAGCCTAGGACTTACGAAGGGCTCTCTGACCAGTATTCATACTGTAGACAGCCATTTCTGTCTGCTAGTTTCATATTCTGTGGCACTCCGGTGCTGCCCTCTCTAGGCCTGCCCAGGTCGGTGGGACGCTGGTCCCACTCTCTCTCCCTTCACGGCCTACCCTCTCGGTTCAACTGCTCCCCTCCACGACTGGCTATCGGTCATTCCCTCACTTTGCCCATTGTGTACTCACTCCATTCCAATTAAATCCAAAATAGTCCACAGCCGTATCTTTGCTACCTACGCTACCTCCTTCGGCACTAAACCACTGTTTGACAGAACGAACAGCAATAACAATGCCTATATAATGTTTATAAGAGCTGATTTCCTCTATTATGTTTATTTCAATATACATATAGCATACTACTGTATAAACATTTGAAAATATATCAGAAATTTTATAAATGGTGCAAAGGTGACATTAAAACAATAGCAAAGATGGTTGACACAAATCTACTACCATTATAATAAGCTCTTCACTTAGCAACGAATTCTTTTAATGACCTGGTCTTAGGAAAGGAACTCCATCGTTAAGCGAGGAGAGGCTGTATTATGTATCTTTCTCGCCTGTATTCCAAGGAGTACTGGTCAAGGGACTTTGATCATTACCAGTAATTGAGGTGCATTTTTGTACTTATATGAGCAGTGAAAGTTATTTGTATATCTCCAGTCTTGCAATTTCGCCTTACCCGACAAGGGCCCGTTAGTGACAGCAATATTCCGCCTAAAAGAACAAGAAATTTAGAAGAAAATCATCATTGGTTTGGCATCCCTATGTTAAGTATAATAAACAAAATAACATAATTATCTTTAGTTACTACAAGTACATTACCAGGTATACAGGCCTAGCTGAATATCAATGACATATACAATATAGAAAGCCCCTTGTTATGTAGAGCATTTCAGGCAAATTAGGTCAGTTTTGTCCCAGGATCCTCTTCAAGGGGGGCTCCTTGGCGTGGTGAAGAGCTCTTGGTCTGAGGAATTTTAGCCCGTCGGTCATCTTTCTCAGACCGAACCTAATACCCCCCCATTCTCTCCTCCACTCCACTAATTTCCCATCCTCCACCATCCTCCCCACTTTTTTCCATTCCTCCTCCACCTCCTCACCCCTCCTTTTGCCCTTTTCCCTTTTTTAGCCTTCGTGATTTCTCCCCACAGGCCGTAGTTCCTAGGAGGGAAAGGACACCGGGTCCATCCCATGTCAGTTTGAGGGTTTCTTGGCGGTGGCGTAGTTTGGCCGTGGAATCTGGATTAGCCTAGGATGTCCGGCGCTACCGATCCCTCTCTCTCCTCCGGTATCCCGAGTGGCTTTGGGTGTCTTTGGGCGACGGGGTGTTATCTCTGGAAGCCACCTTTTTCGGATTCTTCACGGGGGTGGTGGCTGAAGGAGGTATGCTTTGTGGCGGAATCCGCCGCCCTCCGTTTCTTTTTTCCACCGAGGTAGCTCGGCAGATGTGAAGTGCTATCCCAGATTGCTGGTTTACTGGCATGAAGGGTGGGTATGGGACGGTTCCATTCTGCATCTGCTCTACTTAGCGGTGTCGAGTCCTCTTGGGCGAGGAGGGGATTTCACGGCCCCTGTTCATTACCTCTCCTGGGAACTATTCCTCTCCCCGCTGGGGGGTGATGAAATTGCCTCCCCCCTTTTTTTTTATTTGCTTTTTTTATTTTTATGTTTCTTTTCTTCTTTTCTTTTTTTTTCATAAAAACAAAAAGCACAAAGGAGAACCTAACCATGGCAGCCCTAGGTCCATGAAACCACTACCCCCACCCGTCCAGGGCTCAGACCTCCTCTTGATACCGCACCCCATTCTGACCCTGCCTTGTGTTTAAACCACTCCATTCGGACAACATCCTGAATGGCCGTCCTGTATACCTCTTGCTGGTGCTGTTCCTCACCAGCACGCTTTCATGTACCGGGGCCTTTCGACTGACTTCCTTCGATATGTCTGAACTAACTCCGCTCTGCCTTTGACTATGCTTCCGGCTTCTCCCTCTACGTACGGCAATTTTCGAATTTCGCCCACTTCCATTTCCTGCCGAACCAACTCCCGGTCCAAATCCTAAACACGCCAACGTCATCTCCTGATGATGTACCGTCTTACCTTCCCATTGCTACTCGGAAAACGAACGACACGACAAGCCACTTCCCTCTCCCACCTCAGTTTCGGACCACACAATGGACTAATTCTTTACTTAAGACCAACTTCTTCTTCTGCCTACCTTTCGGACCAAGTATTTGGCAAAGCCTCCTGCTTCATGTTGGCAGAGATTATTTCATTTCCACGCTCTCAAAGAGCGTACAAACGCAATCGTCACTGTCCAAGAATGCCTACCCAAAGCTCATGATCTTTCTCTCCTTTTCGAATATCGATACTACTCCTATCATCTATTGAAAAACATCTTCTCTCAATTCTTGTAGTGGACTGTCATTCTGTCTGGCCCCATACCAAGTCCAACAAATTTCCAGTCATGTGGCAATGACATTTTTTGAACAGCTCTGGAACCCAGGACTTCTCCCAATCCTCAAAGTAGACAATATGTCCTTCCTGCCCGGGGCGGAGACGTTACCCATGCAATGTGGCCCGTTTAAACTTTTGACAGCCCGAGAACTCCCCGTCACTCGTTATGTCGCGGGACTTCGGTTACAAGTTCGAAAGGTGAATACCTTCAACACGCAACAATGTAAAAATGCGCTGTACACACAATTTTGGTCACCCCCAGGCAGTGAAAATTGCAGAATCTTGGCCGAAAGCCCAGTCTGTGGTGCCGACAACCATTCTAATACATCTCTTGCAGTCAACCTCCATCTTGCCTTAATTGTAAATGACGCTCACCCTTCGGTACTCCCGCCGTTTGCCAGTCTAACTTAAATGAACGTGAAATCCGTTGCCTCAAAAGGCAGAAGGTCTCCCTTTATGATATGGCAGTTTACTCATTCTCCCCTCCAGGGAGAACTACCCCGTGTTTTCTTATTCTTCGTGTTTTCCAAACGTCGCCCCCCCACTTCAGGGGTCCCATCTTCTGCAGCCTCCTCTGTTGTTACCCCTCCATAGCCACCAACGGCATCTAATCCTTTTGCTGTCCTTGGCTCTGTACGTCCCGACTACAACTCAGTCTGTTCTCACATCTTTCGCGTCCTTCCTCACCAACC